TCCAGAATATGTTTATGGTGTTTTAGTAAAACGTTCGAAGAGCATGACTATAGAATATTCGAAGAGCATGACTATAGAATATAATGATAGAGCTGAACATTTTAGNAAAAACCCGAACTCAATATTCAAATTCTATCGAGAGGAAAAAAGCCGCAAAAAAATCCGCAATAATTATGCATCAACCTAATAATTCGTAAAAAAAATTCACCTATAACCGATAGGTAATGACTTCTTCGTACTCTACATCTCTACTGAAGTTTAGAGTTTTTCGGATGCATCTATGGAAGTGGAAGTGGCGTATGAGTTCGTGTTAAATACACTTATGGAGCCTACGTGCTAATCGCTCATCTCGTGCTTCCAGTCGTGTCGTGTATCAGGTTGCCTAGTAAAAAGGTTTGGCTGGCTCGGGTGGTCACTTGGTAGAAGTACCCACCTGGGCAAGGACTCCATGCTCTAAGCATCCCCTGACACTTCCTCCAGCTCCATCTCTACGATTTCAGTTCTTAGTTGACCTATATGTATATGTGCAGTTTGGAGATGTGCTTCCCTTTTGTTTTCGAAACGCTACGGTGATCTGAAAACCCAGTTAGCCTTACTTTTCTGCTCTCTCATGAAAGGGAAGAAGCAGAACACCTTCCCCTGATTCTTGCCTCTGAGCGGAGGGAACTCAAACATTAACTAAGCTGAACCATCCTCCAGAATATGTTTATGGTGTTTTAGTAAAACGTTCGAGGAGAATATGACTATAGAATATAATGATAGAGCTGAACATTTTAGCGACGCTGTACAACATCAACAATGACCGAAGAGTTTATTAAGTTACTAATCAACATATTACTTTCCCTTGCCTCCCTTTCCTCCTTTTCCTCCCTTCTTTTTGAATGGAGGGTTCTTTTCAATGTGCTCCACGAAGCAATCCCTGATTTCGTTGAACGATTCAACACAGAACAAATAGTCGAGGTAGTTGGTTGGAACGCCATCATGAGCCGAGCAGTATTCCAGACATTTGCCTTCAACTCCTTTTGCCTGAAATTCAAGTCCTAGCCACTGAATGTGCAACTCAAAGTGATAATCAGCAAACAAAGGGTTAGTCTAAGGGAGTAGTGGTGAAAAGGCTTTGAAATGCAAGTGATCCCCTCAGCGCTTACCTGACAGCATTTAGTATGGTCGTGACGCAAGGAGACGCAGTCCCACATGTTTCCGACAGTTGGTCCTCTCTCAGAACATTTTGACAAGAAGCTGAGGATCTGTAATTACCTCCTTTCGTGATACTGAATTTATGAGAATAGAATCTGAAGCAATCTGAAGCAAGCTTGGAACTAATTTTTCAACGCCGGCTGAACTGTAAGGACACGCATCTTCGCTCATTTGAAAAAGGTGGTATAACTATGTTTTTGTAACTGCACTGTTCCACAAGATTTTCACGATCATCCCGACCTGTAGTAAAAAATCTTTTCTCAGCAACATCCTCCTTCACCTCTCCTGGTCTCACCCAAAAAGTTTTTATTTTCACTTCTTTCTCAAAGTGCTGTCATTTCACCCTTCACTTCTCTGATAGGATTGAGTCAGCGCTCGCTCTGTGCTCTCTGCTCCGGCTTTCACGATAATGTGCCAGGAGGAGGGTTAAAGATTTGAGGGAAGTTTAAAAATGGTAAGCTTAAGGCTGAAATCACAGATTGGATACATTCGTTTTGCTGTGCACAGATGGAGAAGTCGATTCGTCAGAGAAATATTACAGGAATCATTAATGAATATTGATGGAGCTGTCAAAGTGTTTGCTTGCATTGGTAGGTTTCACAAATCATCCCTTCGTCCGTTCAGTAAGAGTCGGGGATTTAGAAAGTTAATACTTTCGAAAAAAAAGTTGTTAAGAGCAAAGTAAAAAATTGCACTAACGTTGGTTTGAGAGATAGCGTTGAAATCACAGAATTTGCTGACGCATTCCTGGTCAGCTTCGTGCAGTGTGGCACAGCACTCCTTCAGCTTCTCGTTTGGTGTTTGCTTGCCGAATCCGACGGCCATAACGGCGAAGAAGATCGCCACACCGGCTATCATCTGAAAAAAACGTAAAATAATCATTCTTCACGGAGTAAACCGTCAAAAATAGATTAGTACAGAGGAGTACACTCAGTGCTCAAAGCTAGTGAATATGGTAGTGAGCCTTTATAGGAAAATGGCCAAAGATGGTGCGTTAAGACAATGAATGGATGCGTTTATCTACGGGTATCTGGGTCATTGTATCGGAGGATAATGGATTGCTAGGCAGATGGGGGGTGTCCGGACCGTGGGACAGCACTTGTCAAGGTTATCCGATGTTTCCCTTTTTTTTCTTTTGAGGTCCGTCGCAGAAAACTTATCGTACAACGTATCTAGCTTGATTGGAAGTTTTTTTACGCGGTCCGTACTGGTTTTACTCGAGATCCAAGCGCTCACAGTCAAACTTCAGCATAAAACCCAAAATCGGCAGCCTGAAGTAGATTAGCTTCAGCACTAATTCGATTAAGGTGCGCAGATGCAAGCCATCGTCCATAATTCCCGATGTGTTCTCGACGAGGCTTTAGAACTGCTGGAGACTTGTCATCCAATGGAGCATTCGGAATGTGCCCATTAGTCGCTTCCTCGTACTGACAGAGACCAATTTTCAGAATTCTGTCTACTTACTGCAATGTTAACATGACTAGTACCAGCTGGTAGAAGGTAGCCGGACTGGGCTGCCAACTCAAGATGCATGGATACGGTTCGACTTCCACTGTGTCCAGCAAGCCATGGTCGTTCATATCCGATTGCCCACCGAAATGGTGCTTACTATGACTGAAATTATTTCTATTGAGTTACTATCAAGTAATAATGGTTAGCTGAAAACGTCAGCTTCAAACAGCGTGTTACGATCATGCCCCCAAATCTGCACTCGTACGATGGACTGATTTATGGGAGAGACAGATGCCACTAAATATATAAATCAAATTTTGAATGTGAATCTGATAGAGCTTTTGTAACTCCATTATTGTTGCAGTGATCCGTAATTCGAGAATATTCCGACTGCCAGAAAAAAGTTGATTGAAAAACGCAAAAAAATCTTAGCCCCTGGTTAATTCTAGGATCTAAGAGAACCGGATCCGGATCTTCGTTAATTTCTGTTCTTTGTTTATGTGCGGTCATTCTTCGGTACTTACTGTTGAAGGCACAGTTCACGATGAAAATGGTTTCTGATTAATTCGATGTCCTCTAGTATACCATATCGGGCAGTATCAGGTAGGAAAACGACCTACTTTAAGCGTTATAAAGGCTCAAAGATTGTATCGTGTGTATCCTCGGACGAGTTTCACCGCCATTGCAGAGGCTGCACGATTCACAAAGGAACTCATGTAGAAGGCTCAAGCAACTTGTCATGACCCATAGCGACACTTCTGTACAGTTCTGGCTTGATGTAGTCAGCTCTTTGCGCATTTGTAACAGCTGAAATCTCGTCCGAATACCCCTTTCATGTTATATCCGTCATGGTAAATTCGTCCAACCCTTATCTTCCCTACTTTTGAGGAGCCTTATTTTTCTCGGAAATGGCGAATTTTCTCGCTTTCTCCACTACCGATGAAGTATTCAAAAACTGTACTTCTTTTTGTTTAAAAAGGGT